AGCAGGGGCACGTGGGTGCCTCAGTCAGTTAAGCGTCCGACTTCGGCTCAGGTCATGATCTCGCAGTTTGTGAGTTTGAGCCCCACATCGGGCTCTGTGCTGACAGCTCAGAGACTGGAGCCTGCTTCGTATTCTGTGTCCCCCTCTCTCTCTGCCCCTCCCCCCTCTCAAAAATAAATAAACATTAAAAAAATTTTTTAATTAAAAAAATAAAAATGTCTCTAGAAAAGAAAACAGTCAACAGAGAAAAAGGCAGCCTACAGAATGGGAGAAAATATTTGCAAACCATATATTGGAAAAGGGGTTAATATCCAGAATACGTAAAGAACTCTTACAACTGAATAACAACAAAATAATAGTAACTGGTTTTAAAATGGAGCAAAGGACTTCAATAGATTTCTCCAAAGGAGATATGCAAATGGCGAACAAGCACATGAAAATATGCTCGACACCACTAATCATCAGGGAAAAAAACCACATTGACATTATCACCTCACATTTGGTGGGACAGCCACTATCAAAAAGGCAGAAAATAACAAGTGTTCGTAAGGATGTCCAGAAATTAAAACGCTTACCTACCACTGGTGGGAATGTAAAATGATACAGCTACTATGGAAAACAGTTCAGAGTTTCCTTAGAAAATTAAAAATAGAACTACCATGACTCAGAAATTTCACTTGGGTATACTTCCAAAAGAACTAAAAACCAGATTTTGGGCTCAGTCAGTTAGGCATCCAACACTTGATTTCAGCTCAGGTCTTGATCTCACAGTTGTGAGATCGAGCCCCACATTGTGAAGCCTGCTTAAGACTCTCTCCCTCTCTCCCTCCCTCCCTCCCTCTCTCTCTGTCTCTCCCTTTCTCCCTGTGCCTCTCCCCCAGACTCTCACTCTCTCTCTCAAAAATAAAAAACAAAATTAAAGCAAACACTTTTTAAAAAGGAAGAAAAGAAAACAAGATCTTGAAGAAATATTTGCACACCCACGTTCATAGCAGCACTATTCGCACTACCAAGAGGTAGAAGCTACCCGAATGTCCATCGACAGATGAATGGATAAACAAAATGTGGTCTGTATGTACAATGGACTACTATGTAGCCTTTAAAAGGAAGGAAGTTCCCCTGCATCTGGGTGGCTCAATCCATTAAGTGACTGACTCCGGCTCAGGTGGTGATCTCACGGTTTGTGGATTCAAGCCCCGCATCAGGCTCTGCGACAGCTCAGAGCCTGGAGCCCACTTGGGATTCTGTGTACCTTCCCTCTCTCTACCCCTCCCCCCTCTTAAAAATAAACTTAAAAATTTTTTTTAAATGGCAGATACTGGGGCGCCTGGGTGGCTTAGTCGGTTAAGCGTCCGACTTTTGCTTAGGTCATGATCTCGCGATTCGTGGGTTCGGACCCCGCGTCGGGCTCTGTGCTGACTGCCAGCTCGGAGCCCGGAGCCTATTTCAGAGTCTGTGTCTCTCTCTCTCTCTCTCTCTGACCTGCCCCTGCTCACGCTTTCTCTCTCTCTCAGAAAAAAAAAAAAATTAAAATAAATTAAAATAAAACAAGATAGTTTAATCATTTCCCTTCTGTGAGTCCTACTTTTCTCATGTAGAAAATGACATAATACCAGCACTGACCTCACAGGACAGTCCTTGAGGTTGAAGGCAGATAAACCTCTAAACTGTTGGGCATATAGTAGGTGCTCAGTAAGTGAGTTACTTCTATTCTGACCTCCCCTATTGCTTGACACTTGATGGAGTGGTTTTGCTACCATTTCTCCAAGAAGCAGAGGATTTGAGGGGGGAATTAAGGGAGCAAATGTCCTGACCTCTGGGCAATTCTGCACTGGGCTCCCCAGTTTTTAATACAAGGAGTCCAATACCACGTGGGGTACATTTATGGGCAGATGAATGGAATTCTTTGTCTGGGAGAGGTCAGGGTCAGGGTATAGGGCCCTAGAGGTGGGGCTGGTCTGGGTGCCAGATTTTCCCACTTTCCATTCTCACAGAGGGCCCATCCCTGACCCCAGGAACATATATTGTGCTGGTGAGGCTTGGTTTCTGCTCAGCTGGTCTAGGACATCCTTGTGGAGTTGGGGGACCCTGAACCTGGCCTGGTTCTTTCTTTCTGGCTCCCAAATACCCAGAGGGCATATGTGAGTCTCCCTCCTTCCTCCTTGCTTCTGAGAAGTAGGGCAGGGCAGGGGGAGGGAGTGGAGAGGCACTTCTGCCGGCTTCCTCAGCGCTTCCGTTATACCAGGAATCATACCAAAGGACTACACCTCCCACCCTGGGGTGCGTCCTGCCAGTGCCCTCATGGGTGCCTGGCCCAAGGGAAAACATAGGGTACAGGCCAGAGGTCTCAAGGTCACACAGACAACGATCTTCACAGGGTCTGCTCTTTTCTATCTGTGGTTTGGCTCTCGGCCGCCTCCCTTTCTTCATTTGCAAAATGGTGATAATAAAACCTCCCTCAGCAGGTCGACAGAATGAAGCAATCTACACGAGTGGTTATTGCTCAGTAACTGTGAGCTCCTCCCGCCCCCCTCAGAAAATGTTTGTTGAGTGAATGAATGAGTAAACAAATCAGCCATGCACCAAACCAGCAGCAACCGGGGGTAGCTGACGAGAAATCGCAGGACTTGGGATCAAAGGGTGTGGACTCTGGCCTCAGCCGCACCCCCCACCATCTTCCTGTCTCTTCCCTGCTCTGCACCTTGTGATACGCCTCTAAAAAGTGAGGGGGGCAGGGGCAACTTCAAGCATTGTTGTAAAAAGAAAGTAAGATGGTTAGGAGTGATAAAGGTTTGGAAACAATAAAGCACTTGGTAAATTAAAATGGACTTTAAGAACTATAACGGGGCTGCACAAATGTTTGACTTGCTTCTCCCATCAGCCAACTGAGCTTAGCACCAAAAGCGGGCCCTAAGGGTCCCCCTCCTGCAGAACTAAGGAGGTGGGGAGGTGGGGAGGAGGTGGGGAGGTGGGGAGGTGGTGATCTTCCCCTCACAGATTCTCTCTCTCTCTCTCTGGATCCTCGTTGGCTGAAGACACAAGGGAAGAAAGCACACCAACGTCACAGCTGGTTTGGTTAGCGATTCTGCTTCTAGGAACTGCTGGGCTGTACCAGACCCACCCGAGGTGGGTCGTGCTCCAGACACATGCGACTAGAGCTGAAGCCAACTCCCCAGGCCACACACCGCACAACCACAAGCACACGCGCGCACACAGAGATACACCAGAGATTTCTCTCCCCTCCCACCATGCTGCCAAGGAACCCAGTGGTGACTGGTCAGAGAGCTGGCTGGGCTGGGGACCCAGGATTTGCCCTTCTGGGAATGGGCACCATCCCTAACCCTGACACACCACACAGGAGCAGTCAGGGAGTGCTCCCATGCCTTAGGGCAGCTGGCCCCCCTGCACGGGGGTGGGGGAGACAGGGAGTAGGAGGGGCTGCTACTGACCACCGGGAGAACCCCCTTCTCCCCAACAAGGCCTTATTCACAGGCCTAGGCTGTGGAGTCAGGAGTCCAACTGTAAAAGGACTGTCAGACGGGATCCTTGCCTTTCATCACCCCCCCTTCCCACCCCGCTACCAACCAGGAGCAGAAACTCCATGCTGGAGGCACATTTGGTCGCTAATGCCACAGACTATCATTCCTTGGTCCAAACCTTCATCGGACAGATGGGAAAACTGAGGCCCAAGAAGAGAAAAGATTTGCCTGAGGTGACAACGGGATCGGGGGGGGGGGGGGGAGGGGGCAGAACTGGGGCCAGATGCTGGGCCTCCGGCTTGCTATCCTTTCTAAGTACAACGTATTACTTTATCATTGATCTATTCGTTTATGAATGAATGAACAAAACAATGAAGAAACATTCTTCACCTGTAGGGGGTTTACAGTAATGATAACGGTACAGTAGGTAAACACTGGCTCACTTCAGCACAGCATGTCTCGACTGACAAAGCATTTTCCCACCCGGCCTCTTACTCCACAAACCTGAAGGTCAGTACATTGAACCCCAATCTACAAAGGAGGAAACCGAGGCCTCCTGAGTGGCCCAAGGTTCCAATTCGTCAGCAAGAACTAAAATCAAAATCGTGGCTGTCCACCTGAGGCCCAGGGCCATTTTCTTCGTGTCCGGGGCAGATTTCTTTCATTGGCTGGGTTGTCAGTACCTAGAAGCAGGGACATCTCTGTCTTTTGTTTTCCTGGCACCTGTACACGTGCGCACACGTGCGCGCACACACACACACACACACACTCCAGTACCTGGAACACAGCTGTATATTCAACCCGAGCAGAATCAGAGCTGCCTGAATGCTTGAGGGGAGACTCAACTGGCTTCCTCATTCTTCACAGGTGAGCAAGTGTTTGGACAAGAGCCCTGGTTCACCAAGCCCATCTCTGGACCCCGTGCCAGCAAAGGACAAGGGGAGACCAGCCTGTGCCCTGGCCCTAGCACCCGGGACCCGCTGTGAGAAACCAGCTGTGAGCCAGGCCCTCTGTACACATAACCTGGGCATCTTCGTCGTCCCCCAGGAAGGCCTAGCACCTCGTGAGCTCCTGAGCACCCAGCCCTGTAACGTACCCTGTGCTTCTCCCAACAGTCCCGCTGAGGAGACGGCGTCACCCTCATTCGACGACGCAGGAAACTGCAGAAAGGGAGTACAACTTGGCCAAGGTCACACAGCTCATGGAGTGGATGGCATTCAGCTCCCGGAGATCTAGATAGCCCCCATCATCACCCTTACCAGCCCCCAGTGAGGTTTCTGAGGTCACTTCCACACCTTGGTGTGGCCTTGGCCTCACACAACCAAAGAAGGGAGCTGGATTTCCTGGTAAGTTTGGTCATGAACAATCCTTTCTAAACACGAACAAGACTCGGGGCCCCGGGGAAGATGCCAAAACACCCATTTGCTTAGGCGCGGGCTAGGGGCATGGCCTCAGTCTCCTGAGTACATGTTCACATGCCTCCCCCGTGCCCAGCTGCAGCTGGGAGCCCACCCCCCTTACCTGTATCAGGAGAGTGGCTGCAGCAGCAGAATCTGAGTGTCTGTCTGGAGACCTGGCCTCCGTGCTATCTGGAAATTGCAGAAGTGAGGAAACAGAACACACCACTGCCAAGTCACCCCCCGGAGGAAATACCGTGACCCTGGGGCTCCTCCAACAGATGGTATAGAAGCCTCCAAGCTGGGTCACTGGGCCCGGGCCACTGCTCAGAGGGTTCTCACAGAGCCAGGGGCAGGGCAGGGCGTGGGCAGCGGCCAGCGTGCGGGGAGCTAGGGTAAGAGAGAGAGAGCAGAAAGTGAGAGGGCATACTCTTAGGAGAGAGAGAAGCTGAGCATGAGAGCGAGGAAGAGAGAAGTGAGTGACCGAGAAAACAGAGCAAGAAAGGGAACGAGGGGGACAATCAGGAAAGAAGTGAGCGACGGAAGGAGAGAGGCACACAGCGAAAGGCAGACAGATGTAAACACAGACAGAACATGAGAGGAATGAGGGAGACGCGAGAGCAGGAACCCAGGGAATTAAAAGAGAACATGACGAGACAGACAGAGAGTATGTGCTTGGTTGCACATGCGTGCACATCTGCGTGTCTATGGATGGGTGTGAGAGGAAAAAATGAAAAAAAAAGCAGAGAGGGAGAGACAGCTAGAACACGAGGGAGAAGGGAGGAGCTCAGAAGAGCTGCCGTGGTCAGTGGTGTGGCGTGACTGGGCTGGGCATCACTGGTCACCAAGCAGCACCAAGCCCGCGGAGCCCATGGGGACAGTGTGCTGAGGGGCTATAGGAGGGAGAAGGCGTCGCAAGACCCTGAGCAGGAGTGCCAGTTCATGGGAATAAGTGAGGGTGAGTAGGTGTGGACAAGGGAGGGGCGAACACAGAGGAGTTTGTGAATGTGAGTGAGTGCGTGTGTGCATGAGAAAGTCAGTTGGGTGGAGGCTGTGTGTGGACGTCAGTGAGAGATGGGCCAGAGCTCCCTGCCTCAGTTTCTAATCCATTCACCCACTCATTCATTCAGTCAGGAAATACTGAATATCAGGCACCAGGCACTGTAGAAGACACTGTCTACAAAAGCAAGGTGCTCACGCATCAGTCAAATCCAACACCCTTCTACAGAGAGGGAAGCAGGTCTAGACAGGACTCGGGTCCCAAAGCGAGGCAGGTGCAAGGGCCCTGACTCGTCATTCAGGGTCCAGCCTCAGCTCCGCACTGTGTCACTGGGCTAGCTTCCTCCTGCCAACTGGGACCCTGCAACTGTACCTTATCAAAGCCACAAATGGATCTCAAAGGACAAATCACTTTTGACATGTGCCTCAGCCCTGAAGACCTAGAACCAAATGTCTGCCCCTGCCCCAGCTCCATCCCCATCACACACAGGCAGACACGCTCACACCTCTCCCGCGTATAAGCCTTGCACGCTCACGTACCCTCAACGCACACTATCATGCAGACACCAACTTACAATCACATCCCTCCATTCCCACATATACTCACACACTCAGGTGCCCAGATCTGTCACCCCTTACTCATACCCGCCCAGTCACATCTTTCCTCGCGACCATTCACATACACTTCTCCACACTCACCCACCACACACGCTCTCCTTGCACCCTAGCATGTGGTGTTAGGCACTTTGAAGGGGCCCAGTTTGGTCATCCCTCCCCGGCTCTCTCAGAGGCATCTTGAGTCTTGAGTGCCCTGAAACACAAGAGACCATGGTCCACCCATTGCATTGCCAGGGCCCTAGCTCTGCTCCCCAACTCAGTTCCTCTTTCCCAGAATTGGCTTCACCTTCTCAGCCATCCTCCATCCACCACACACCATGAGGGACATCAACCAGCCCCCCGCCCTCTGCCATTTGACCATAGACTCCAAGCACACTCGTCTCAAATCCAGAACTATTTGGCTCAGCCTGTTTTTCAATAGTCCTTGACTCATGCTCTTGTGACAGACGTTTCAGTACCTCTTTTGAGATGATCAATAATCAGGGTAGGTAGGCAGAGATGGTCCACATTTTATTCCTCCTTTTTCTTACACCCACATCCATTCTGTTAGCAAATGTGGAGAGTTCCACTTTAAATTTTTTTTTTTTTATTTCTAGGAGAGAGAGAGAGAGACAGCGTGAGCAGGGGAGGGTCAGAGAGAGAGGGAGTCACAGACTCTGAAACAGTCTCCAGGCTCTGAGCTGGCAGTCAGCACAGAGCCCGACGCGGGGCTCGAACCCACGAACCGCGAGGTCATGACCCAAGCGAAAGTCGGACGCTTAACCGACTAAGCCACCCAGGTGCCCCCAACTTTAAAATATATCCAAACCAGGGGCGCCTGGGTGGCTCAGTCGGTTAAGCATCCAATTTCGGCTCAGGTCATGATCTCATGGTTCGTGGGTTCGAGTCCCGCATCGGGCTCTGTGCTGACAGCTAGCTCAAAGCCTGGAGCCTGCTTCAGATTCTGTACCTCCCTCTCTCTCTGACCTTTCCCTGCTCGCGCTATCTCTCTCTCTCTCTCTCTCTCTCTCTCTCTTTCTCTCAGAAATAAATTTTAAAAAATTTTTAATAAAATATATTCAAACCTGAATCTAAGCAAGCCTTGGGGAACACTCAGTAAGGGTATTTGGGACCTCTGTATACTATCTTTGTTTTCTTTCTTTTAAGTAATCTCTACACCCAACGTGGGGCTCGAACTCATGACCCTGAGACCAAGAGGTGCACACTCCACCGATCAAGCCAGCCAGGGGCAGTGTACTACCTTTGCAATTTCCCATGAATCTATGATTATTCCAAAATAAAGTATTTAAAAAAATAACTAAAAATCCACACAGTGGAAAGGCACTCAAGAGAAGCGTGTTCAAAGAATAATAAAAGTACTAACAATAATAATCCAGTGCTATTTAGCACATGGTGGGCATTTAGTGTGTTTCAGACAGTTGTATCCTATGTAATTGCTCTACATGTGTTATTGTATATATCCTTACAATATTCCTGTGAAGTAGGTGCATTTATCATTATCTCCAATTTAGAGAGAAGGAAATTGAGGCATAGAGAAGCTGAGTAGCTTGTCCAAAGTCACCCACCTTTTATGTGGCAGAGCTAGGATTTAAACCTCAGAGCCCATTCTAGATCTTAACCACTGTGCTGAAGTGCAAATAAATGGGGACAAGAAAACGTGTTAATAATAAAATAAAAAGACATATGTATCAGGGTACTGAAAAGAGATGCACACTCAGATGGACAATCTGAGGACAGAGGGACCCCTTAAAGACTTGAGGGCAGGGCTATAGAACCAGAAGGGACCCTGCAGTACCCCAATACTGCCAACAGTGGGCGCCTTTACCACCCGAAAGGCTCAAGAGCGGAAGCGGTTTCTGGAACCCAAGGGCAGCTATTTGGAGAGCGCTGCCAGGCAGGAGCTGTGACCTTGAGTAGGAAGTTGCAGTAATCCCCCGATGACCTGGCAGAGGAGAGACCAGGAAATAAATACACAAATCTCTCTTTTCTTCCACCCTCTGATGTCTTACCAGTGCCTTCCCTTGGACTCCCCCGGACTCCAATCAGAAGCAAGGGATAAGGGTAATACAGTCCATACAGATCAGCCTCCAGGGGCACAGAGTGGGGTGGAGAAGCAAGGAGATCTGGGGGGCAAAACAGAAGATATCCAGGACAGATATATTCGAGAAAATCAGGGAGAATTTAATATGGACAGAATTTTAAATGATTCTAAGGAATTATTGTTAATTTTATTAAGTGATAATGGGGGTGTGGTTATATAAGAAAGTATCCATATATACGGAATATTTGGAAATGAAGTTGCAGGGAATTGCTTTAAAATATTATAGCAAAATAAAGGGAAAGAGAGGAAGGAAGGGGAATGGGAAGGATGGAATGAGGGGAAGAGAGGGGAGAAGGAAGAATGGAAAAAGGGAAGGAAGGAGGGAGGGAAGGGAGGGACGGAGAAAGGAAAATAATGGGGCAAGATATTGAATCTAGGTGATGGGTGTTGTAGCAGGCTGAATAGTGACCCTCAAAGGTATCAGATCCTAATCCTTGGAACGTGCAAACGTTACCTTATATGCCAAAGATTTTTCAGGTGTTATTAAATTAATGCTCCTGAGATGGGGAGATTGTCTTGAATAATCCAAGTGAGACTTAGTACAATCACAAGTATCCATATAAGAAAGAAACTAAGGGAAATCTGATTATAGATAGAAGAGAAGGCAATGTGGCCACAGAGGCAGGGTGACATGGCCCCACGTCAGGAACGCTGGAAGCCATCAGACGTTGGAAAACAGATTCAGTCCTAGAGGCTCTGCAGGGAGCACACAGCCCTGCTGACTTCCTACCCATTGATACTGATTTTGGACTTCTGGCCTCCAGAACTGTAAGAGAAAAAACGTGTTTGGTTTTTTTTTTAAATGTTTGTTTTTGAGAGAGAGAGGGACAGAGCATGAGCAGGGAGGGGCAGAGAGAGTGGGAGACACAGAATCCGAAGCAACTCCAGGCTCTAAGCTTTCAGCACAGAGCCCAACGTGGGGCTCGAACCCACAAACCGTGAGATCATGACCTGAGCCAAAGTCAGATCCTTAACCAACTGAGCCACCCAGGCACCCTTAAACATGTGTTGTTTGTTTGTTTGTTTTTAGGTTTATTTATTACTGAGACAGAGAGAAACAGAACACGGGTGGAGGAGGGGCAGAGAGAGAGAGACACAGAATCCAAAGCAGGCTCCAGGTTCTGAGCTGTCAGCACAGAGCCCAACATGGGGCTGGAACCCATGAACTATGAGATCATGACCTGAGCTGAGGTCAGATGCTTAACCGACTGAGCCACCCAGGCGCCCCTAAACATGTGTTGTTTTAAGCCACCAAGCTTGTGGTCATTTGTGACAGCAGCTATAGGAAATGAATACAGGTATAAAGAGATTTATTATACTCTTCCCTCTCTTTTTGTGTCTGTTTAAAAACCTTTCTAATAAAGTGGGTGTTGTGCACAGCCAAATCACAGCACTACCTATAAAGTAGGTAGTGCCAAGGAAACAGAATCAGCAAGTTCAACCACCAGTTTACTGGAAATATAGAAGAGTACCGGGTCATAGGGATACACTCAGCAAACTC